ACCACCCCTCGATCCAGGGCCTCTGCCGGGTCGCACCCGTTAACCTCGTGCCGAGCCCGGAGAGCAAAGGGAAGTTCACGGACTCTGGGATCCCAAGGTACCTGTCTAGGGGAGGTCTGGGGTGTAAAGTGGGGACTGCGTCTTTTCTGTTTATCGCCCGGAGAGGGAAGCTTTGTCGAGAGGTCTTCCGGAGCGTTGCGTAGAGTCATCTGCTTCTCCCGCGGACTTGGCTGCGGGCAGACGCTCGAGCGATTATTTACGGCGTGATCCCAAACTATAGGAATATTTATAAATGGAGCGAGGGAGCACTGAAAGGAAATATTGGAGATGGGTTTTCCTTGTACTCCTGTGCTTTGCAAAGTTTTTTTTCCCCCTCTAGTCAGTAAACAAAAAGGAATTCCATTTATGAAGTGTAGCTCACCGAGCGGTTGCATGTAGACCTGCCTTGCTTCATCCTATTTGGTTAGGAAAATAACGTAATCCGTTGTTTCCTGGGACTTTCTCCAGCTTTCAGATTGAAAGGAGGAATTTCCCAAATTTTCTGGGGCGAGAATACACCCTGAGCCTCGCAGCGGAAGTTGGCAGCCACGGAGAGCCGGACTCTGCAATGTTGGCTGGCTACAGGCCAATCAGGCACAGTGGGAGAAAGAAGACATCGTCTCTGTAAAAAACTGAGCTTTACTAAGGTTTTCGTCCTGTTGATTTTGGTTTTCACGACTCCTTTAGCAAGACCTGTTGCTTAAGTAAGTATTGATTCTGCTGAACAATAGCATTCACGGATGTCTTCAAAGCCACACTACAGGGTGATGACCTGGTGAGGGGGGTCAGGATAGTTGTCTTTTGCTGTGCTTCCAAGTTTCTCTTCCCTTCCTATTAGCACAGTGCCAGCAAAGTTATTGTAGTTCATTTGTTAACACAAATATTACTGTATGTCAGACATCATTACAGTGTTTTACAGCTTTTTGATGTCAGAGATCATGGTTTAAACCCACTTTGATGATAATCTCCAACTCCATTTAGTTCCCTAAAAATCAGATGGTTTGTGACTTTGTAAAGAAAATATTTGTTATATGTTTGAATAGATATTAGATGCACATGGTATAATATTCCGAAAGTACAGAATGTGCAGTGACAAGTCTCCTTTCCACCATCAATCCCAGTTTCTGTCTCCAGAGGTAACCACTGATACCACTATATAAGCTCATTTTTACTATGTTTCTTTGATAACTTAGGCCAAACAGATTTGAAAAAGCTGCTTTTGAGCACCTCCACGCTAGTGACTTTTTAAATAAAAAATCCAACAATTTTATTATTTTAGTTTTTTTTTGTTAGTTTCTGTCTTTTCTGTTTTTCTACTGACCACTCTGAAATGTCAGAGATTCAGGTCACTTTGTAGAGGGAACTTGCAGCTCTGCAAACTAATGAATAAGTTAGTTTCTGAGTTCCTTGAGGTCAGATACCATGGTTTCCTAAACTTTGGAGCTCCCTAACAACCCGCCATAATTATTAGTGACTTGCGAACATCCATACACCCAGGCTTAAGGTTAACTGATAATCGAAGTAACCTGGTGCTTCACAGCCTCTTCCTCTCGTGAGGAGCCAGTAACAGTGTGCTTGCCTCCCCAACACTAGATTCTAGGTTGGTGTCCTGCTAGTTCTGACAGACACCTCTGTGGCCCTCTTCTCTACTGGTTAGCTGCTATAGTCTGTGAAGTAACTGGTATTTGGGAGTAATGTTTGTAGTGGGCAAGAGAGAGGGTGCATTTCTGTTGTGTGAATCCTGCCTTTGACACTGTCTTTGTGACCTGGGCTACTTAGATAAACCCTCTGAGACTTAGCTCCCTCATCTGTGAAGCGGCGATTCATAGCGTTATTTTGAAAATTAAGTAAAACAGTACGTATAAAGGGCTAGCCCTGTGCCTGGCGCATGAAAGGCATACAGTAAGTAGCAGCTTTTGTTACTGTCAGGCTTTGTTATCATTTCATACATTCATAAGATAGGTGAGTGCATGTGTCAGGGTACCTTATGGCTCAGTAACACCTTACTAGAAGGGTTAATTTTTGCTTATGAGTCTCTATGGCTCTGTCTTTGGCCCTTCCCTCTGGGACCCCACGCTGAGCTGCTACTTTTGTGGACCACCGAGGTGGCATATGGAAAGAGAAGAGGCAGGTCTATCTACACAGTGGTTTTTAAAACCTGCGATCGGAAATAAGCTTCATGTTACTTCCATTCACATTTCATTGATATGGTTGTCACTGGAGTGGGAAGTGTATTATCTTTCTAAAGGGGCAGAACCAGTAGAGATAGGCCTGGTAGTGAGGGGCAGCAAATACTTGATAGTAACACAGGTTACAACTGTGAACCCAGAAGTTCATCAAAAGCTGAGAATTGAGTCACCCCAAGACACTTAAAGCCACTGACTTATAAGCCAGAATGCCAAATTTTTCCTTTAATATGTCTCCCCTGGGTACTAGGCATAAGAGCCTGTACGGGGCAAAATTTTCTTCATGGTGGATTTTCTCAAAAGACTGAATTAATTCTAAGCTACTAGGTTATATAAAAAACACAAAACCACAAATTTGGGTGTTACCAAAAGACTGTAACAAGAATATACCATGTTTTAAAATCCAGGTCTCCTTTTGGAACTGTTATTGTCCAAAGTCCAAGACTGAATTAGAGTGATGGCAGTGTATCCTAGACAAGGTGGAAATCATGACAGATTCTTGCTCTTTCTTTTTAGGCTCTTTACTTGTTATCAGCTAATTGTTTTCTTGTCAACCACTAATTGCATCATCTCATGATTTATTCTATTTATTCTCTTTTAAGCTGTTTCTTGAATAACGACTTTATTATTGTAATTAAAGTATTTTCAAATCATGGTGATAAACCAGTTCTACCCACTGTGTGTTAATTCTTGCTGCCTTTGGTTTCATAGTAATTTTTATCACCCTTGCTCCAAGATTCTGAGCATTCCTTTCTCTTTTTCTGCTTATAGCTGGACATTTGTTGCTTGGGTAAGGCAATATGGTAAAATAATGTCCAAAAAGAACCTATTATGAAAGTAAATTTAAAACTAAAAATACGTTTCTAGGGCTTCCCTGGTGGCACAGTGGTTGAGAGTCTGCCTGCCAATGCAGGGGACACGGGTTCGTGCCCCGGTCCGGGAAGATCCCACATGCCCATGGAGCGGCTGGGCCCGTGAGCCTGCGCGTCCGGAGCCTGTGCTCCCCAACGGGAGAGGCCACAACAGTGAGAGGCCAGCGTACCGCAAAAAAGAAAAAAAAAAAAAAAGGTTCTAAATCAATAAAAAAATTTTGCTTAGTTATTTGTTAAGTAATTGAATAAACTGAGTTTGATTTTTTGCAACACAACTTTGCAAAACAGAAGATTGTATTTTAAAAGTAAATAGCAAGCATGGAAAGAAAAGGAAAACGTTGTTTTTTTCTTTTTAACCAGCATAATTTTGATACCAGTATCTAATATAGATGGCAATAAAACTACAAATCAACTTTGCTTAAGGCTATTGCTCCCCAAACCCCACTGTAAATACTGTATAGTATTTAAGGAATGCAGGGAGCATTCAGCATCACTCCACCTACTGGTATAATTTACTACCACACTAGATTAAGGGAATTCTATGCAGCTGTTTAAGATTGAGGTATATTTATATGTATAGATATGGAAAAAAATCACCCATTTGTGTTACTAATTGAAAAATACAAGGTCTAGAACTAAATACAGTATGTTCCTATTTGTGTAAGAAATTTTTTTCTCTCTGTGTAGAAATGTGTTATGTGTCTTTGAGTGCACACAGTTTTGCTTGGGGTGTAAAGACTTCTGTAAGGATAAAAGCAACATTTATAGTGGTTGACTCTAGAAGAATAAAAAAAGGATTAGGGTGGAGGGAAGATACTTAAAAAAAATCCTTTTTAAGTGTTTGAATTTTTAAATCATGTGCATGTAATTCTTTTAAAATAAATTGGTTTTAAAATGGCAGTTTTGGGTCCAAATAACCTCTCATAGATTTTAATAATTAATTCTTCTGTCTGTTTTACTGCTTAAACTACTCCACTGATTATTAAAGGTACATATAGTGAGTTGGAGGTGGAGGGCACCACGGGGCCATGCACTCTAGAGGGATGGGTTAATAGCAGTTAGATTGAGCTGCTTGTGGCTAATGACAGTTTGTCCAGTCATTAGGAACCATTGACAAAAATAAATAATTCCAGTACAAGTACAGACTATGATATTTAGAACTACCTCATGGAGATTTTTTTAAAATAAAAAGTGTGTAATGTCTAAATTAAAAAGTTATAGAATAAAGTAAACTTTTTAAAGCATTTACTATTTTTAACCCATTACCTACTAGAAATCTAAGTCAGGATATAAAGGACAAATGTTGCAGTTATTTGTATATAACTTTTACATGTCTTTAGTCAGGATAATACATAATACCTCAAAAGTCACAGAAGCCCATACCTGAGTGTGGTAGTTATTCATCTTGTTCCACCCAAAACAATACAAAATTCATAATACATTAAGTTTTAATTCAGTTAATAAACTGTAGGTTTTCTTCATGTGTATATCCTCATTTCTTTATTCCTGATTTCCTGTTTAAAGTACAGCTGTCATGTTTGGTCTGGGACCAAGTCACTCTATTTAAATGAAAAAGGAATGGAAGTTTCTTTATGCTCCCCCCAAATTACTTTATCAATAGTCATTCCTTGTTATCGTCCAGATTATATGTATGGTCTTACTGTCAAACTAGAAATGAAAAATAGAGAGGAAAAAGTAATGCACCAGTTCGTACGGGGTTTGGTATAAGATTTCACATATCTACTCATTAACTGAAAGTATCCTGCCTATGTATTGTTTTCTTAAAGTCTAAATAAATCAGATTTTCATCAAAATATTAGAATCAAAGATCTCAATGCCTGATGTATGGGAGTGAACTAACGTGCTGACTTGATTGTTGCAGGAGGGTCAGATTCTGGTGTACATCATGTCCAGTTTCGAAGATGCCAACACAGAAGAGACAGTAACTTGTCTCCAGATGACTGTTTACCATCCTGGCCACCAGCAAAATGGAATATTCCAATCAATAAGGTTTTTTAACCGAGAAAAACTCCCCTCCAGCGAAGTGGTGAAATTTGGCCGAAATTCCAACACCTGTCATTATACCTTTCAGGACAAACAGGTTTCCCGAGTTCAGTTTTCTTTGCAGCTATTTAAAAATTTTGATAGCTCAGTTCTCTCTTTTGAAATTAAAAATATGAGTAAGAAGACCAATCTGATTGTGGACAACAAGGAGCTGGGCTACCTAAATAAAATGGACCTGCCACACAAATGCCTGGTTAGGTTTGGGGACTATCAGTTCCTGATGGAGAAAGAAGATGGAGAGTCATTAGAATTTTTTGAGATTCAATTTTCTTTGTCGACAAGACCACTCTTGCAAGAAAACAACTGGCTGCCACAGAAGCGCATACCTGAGTGTGGCAGTTATTCATCCTGTTCCACCCAAAACAATTCTCCTATAGAAATGGGTGAAAATGAATGGTAAACGCACAGGGCTAAGGGAATCATGAAGGATGAAGAACTCTGTAGACACTTTACAGACATTCCACTTATTAAGAGTTTCTTAGTGTAGTATATTACTGTCATCTATTAATTTGTCAAATTTGAGATCTGGTGTTATCATTTGAAGTCTGTAACTTGTGTTATTCATTGATTTAGTCACCTGTTGCATTGCTGGATGTGTGAAGAATTACTGTAAGTGTATCTGTGAGCATTAATGTACAAATAGTATCCTTTGTGATGAAGGAATAGTGTTCTCAAAATATGGTTATGTTACTTTCTTTTTATGCCTGATTTTGGTCCTATGTTTTATACTGTTTCATTTTGGTGTGTAAGTTTTGGTTTGGTCATATTATTTCACAGTAGTCATTTGTTTTCAGGTCAGGGCTACAAACAAGTTATTATGGGTGTTGTAGCCTGTTGGTACTTGTAGTACCAGAGCATTGGAACAGAACATCATGTTATTTAGTGTGTCATTGTGGTTTTTAATATGGGAAGACTTATTTGAGCAATAATACCTTGATTTTCTGTTTTTTTCTCTATAGACTTACACTGTTTATTCCCAAGAATACCGTTTTCCTTGTCTGTATTCAGTATCTAAAACCAATATTTTAAACATTTTAACGAACCACTGTGTTAAGTTTAGAATTCTTTTTCTTTTTCCTTTTTTTTGGCTGCACCACATGGCTTGTGGGATCTTAGTTCCCCGACCAGGGATTGAACCCCGGCCTCTGGCAGTGGAAGCGCCAACTCCTAACCACTGGACTGCCAGGGATTCCCAATTTTTCATTTTTATTACCAAATTTTAAATAGTTTTTTATGTACTACAGAGTTTTAAATTCCATGAATTCAAAATTTTAACAGCATCCATGTACATAATAAAGTCAAAGTTTAATTCTCTAACCATTTTCTTTGAAACTCTGAAGAAAGGGAGGAACTGTTTGTAGACTGCTCTTAAGGGAGAACTGCAGGCAGAGGCTGTGGCTGGGGATTCAGACACATCCAGCTTAATTGCATATTGGCTCCATTATTTGTTCCTCACCCCGCATGGAGGCACATGGCCACCAGTAGCTCCCAAGTTCTATATGTTACCGATCACCCACCCAAAGAGAACCTTATCTCCCAATTCCAGTCCAAGCGAAGGGTCAGCTTGGGTCAGGTGCCCACCCATCTACCAACTAACTTGCCTCAGGTCACGTTAAATAATGGCTGCTCCAGTCAGTGACATGTGGATAAGAAAAGCGTTTTCTCAAAAAATGGCCACAGTGGGGTGTGAGTGAGGGCAAACAAAAATGTTGGTGTTTGATACTAGGTACTGCAGCTAAGTTGTGAGACTCGCTGTTCACCTCTTAAGGACTCACTTGTCCCAGGAAACTGATTTTTCTTGGGCTCTTTAAGTAAAGGGGTGTATTAACTGGTGCCAGTGTTACAGTCATAGGCAGTCTCTTCTTGAACCTGCAACTTTATGACAAGGGGGTGCTTTCCAACAGTAAAATCTCATATGCTATGTAATTATATAGCCATATTCTAGAAGATTCTGTCTCTACTATCTACTGCATTGACTGACTTGAAGAAGCATTACTTTTAGGCTCTTAACATGTGTAGTATTAATTTTAATATGGCTTGTGGAAAAATTAGCTATAATCTTTACTACCAGGAGATAAGTGTTGTTCACATTTCGTGTGTATATATTTGGTAGCTGATTCCATGTTATCTCATGGCCCTTTTAACATTTCCAGTTCTCTAACACTTGTTTAATTCCTTACAGTAATTGTTATCATCTGTTAAAATAACAGATAAGGTTACTATTTAACTTTCTGGAGCCTGATTGAAACAATTATATCTTCCATTTCAGGTGATGAGGAAGGATGAGCACTTGGAAAATTGTGATTGGAATTTACTGGGCTTCTAGTTGGTATGAGTTGTACCCAAGTCCAATCACTCATCATTCTACTAAACAACCTACATGAAAATATTTATTTGGCCAGGTATCTCTCTAAGCGATGCATTTAGGGCAGGGACACTGGTGAAAAAAATAGGAAAGCAGTGGTTTTAGCACTGATGCTGGTTTCAACATTTTGTTGCTGGTGGAAGGCCACTGAGGGACTAGAGATGAGCCAGTTTGGCATTGCTTACTAGCATCTTCATAGAAGAGATCATCGTGAGATCAAGGGAACACAACAGCTTTCTTAATACTGTTAGTGGAATCATTTCTCAAAAACCCAAATCAAGGTAGTAATATTTTAAAACAGGAAATTTCTGAGGTTAGACAGTCAAAATAAGGTGTGACATGGGAATTCCCTGGCGGTCCTGTGGTTAGGACTCCACGCTTTGGTGCAGGTTCAATCCCTCGTCTGGGAACTAAGATCCCCACAAGTCGCACAGCGCTCCAATTACTGGAAAGAAAAATAAAAGCAGGCATAATTCCTGGTTATACCATTTTAAAAGTTCTAGCATCTTAAAACCCTCACACAACTCCATATACCCTCCAGTTACCCCATTTCTCTGCTCTGACCACAACTTTTCAAATAATTGTCTACATTGGCCATTCTTTATTCTTCATCCCTTACAAGATACTTCTCAGTTTCCATCCCTTCATTTGAAAAAATGGAACATGCAATATTCATGTTCCCAAGCCCAGCTGATGCATCTGCCCTTTCTCAGTGCCCAAGCAGCATTTGATATCATCGACTCCTCTCCTTCTGGCTCTGGTGACACCACATTCTTTGGTTCCTCGAATTCCTCCCCTATCTGCTTCTTTTGGCCTGTTCTCTACCCCCGACTTCTGAAGGGCAACACTTAATTGGGCTTCTCTGCCTGTCTGCTTCCTCAGGGGGATCTCAGCTGGAATAATTACTTAAATTACTATTTACCTATTACTGACTCCTAAACTTGTACCTATTCTTCTCTGAGCTGTAGACATATATCCCATCACCTACTTGGCAGACATCTTCATTCAGGTTTTTTTTTTAAATAAATTCCTCAAATTTAACTTTACAAAACAGAGCTCTTAATTTCCTCCAATTTCCCAAACCTGTTCCTCCCACTACATTTATTAAGTCAGAAACCAATAAGTTACCATCAAGAGTAGCCGTAGCTGCTAGTTTGGCTGTCATACTTCCATAGATTTGGCCAACAGAAAGGCAGTGAACTCCAATAGATTTAGACAGTTTATTACTTACACAGACAGCAAAAGCAGGACCAGTGAGGAGTCAGTGTCCTGCATCCCTGGTTGCTAGGGATGTCCGGAGCTAACACTGAACCGGGGGGGCCAGATGACAAATGCCTTCAGTGGAGGGTAGCTCTGTTACTGAGGAGCTAACTCTAAACTCCAACCAAGCAGTCTTGTTAGCCTACATCTGTACCTGAATGCGGGTGAGGCGAACATCCCTTGCCTTGCTGGAACCAGGGATTGGGATGAGAAACTGCCTCACGGCAGTCTTCTGCAAACCAGGGAGGCAGATGATAAATGGCCTTGTGGTGGCTCCTTTAAGACCGCCTGTCTTGCCATGTTCCAGGAAGGATTGTAGGGGTTTCTGTCAAGACTTGGGTCAGGCTATGGTTGAGTGTTGGCTATGCAGATATGCAAAGTGAGCAAGGTTGCCAGGGCACCATGCTGAATGCATTACCCTACAGTTAATGGGCAGAGAATCTGAAGACGTTTTTTCCAAGAAGACATACAGATGGCTAACAGGCCATAAAATGATGCTCAACATTAATCATTAGGGAAATGCAAATCAAAACCACAATGAGGTATCACCTCACATCTGTCAGGATGGCTATTATTGAAAAGACAGCAAATAACAAGTGTTGGCAAAGATGTATAGAAAACAGAACCCTTGTGCACTGTTGGGAGAAATGTAAATTGGTGCAGCCACTATGGAAAACAGTATGGAGATTCCTCAAAAAATTAGAAATAGGGCTTCCCTGGTGGCGCAGTGGTTGAGAGTCCGCCTGCCGATGCAGGGGACGCGAGTTCGTGCCCCGGTCTGGGAAGATCCCACATGCCACGGAGCAGCTGGACCCGTGAGCCATGGCCGCTGAGCCTGCGCGTCAGGAGCCTGTGCTCTGCAACAGGAGAGACCACAACAGTGAGAGGACCACGTACCACAAAAAAAAAAAAAAAAAAAAAAAATTAGAAATAGAACTACCATATGATTCAGCAGTTCCACTCCTGGATATTTATCTGAAGAAAACAAAAACACTAATTAGAAAAGATAGATACACCCCAATGCTCATTGCAGCATTACTTACAATAGCAGAGATAATGAAAGCACCCAAAGTGCCCATCAATAGATAAGTGGATAAAGAAAACATGGGTGTGTGTGTGTGTGTGTGTGTGTGTGTGTGTGTGTGTGTGTGTGACTATTACTCAGCCATAAAAAAAATGAAATCTTGCCATTTGCGACAACACGGGTGGACCTACAGGGTATAATGCTAAATGAAATAAGTTAGAGAAAGACAAATACCATATGATTTCACTTACATGTGGAATCTAAAAAACAAATGATCAAACATAACAAAAAAGAAACAGAGTTAAAGACAGAGAACAAGTGGTTCCTAAAGGGGAGGCGGGTAAGGGGAGGAAAGAAATAGGTGAGAGAGATTAAGTGGTAAAAACTTCCAGTTGCAAAATAAATGAGTAATGGGTATGAAATGTACAGTGTGGGGAATATAGTCAATAACTATATATAATATCTTTGTATGGTGACAGATGGTAACTAGATTTATCGTGGTGATCATTTTGAAATGTATAGAAATACCAAATCACTATGTTGTGTAACATGAACTAACATAGTGTTGTAGGTCAACTGTACTTCAAAAACAGACAAACAAACAAACAAATAGAAAAAGAGATCAGATGTGTAGTTACCAGAGGTGGAGGGTAGGGGGAGAGGGAATTTGGAGGAAGGCAGTTAAAAGGTACAAACTTTCAGTTATAAGATAAATAAGTGCTAGGGATGTAATGTACAACATGATAAATATAATTAATACTGCTGTATGTTATATATGAAAGTTAAGAGAGTAAATCCAAAGAGTTCTCATCACAAGAAAAAAATTTTTTCCTGCTTCTTTAATTTTGTATCTATGAGATGATAGAATGTTTACTAAATTTATTGTGATAATCATTTCACAATGTATGTAAGTCAAATCATTATGCTATATACCTTAAATTTATACAGTGCTCTGTGTCAATTATATCTCAATAAAACTGAAAAAAACTCTTGTTGGTCTGCCTCTAAAGGTAATCTGTTCTGCATTCCTATAGCAATTATCAATCCAAGCCACACCATGTTCCACTGGGAATACTATACATATATCCACTTGTGCCCTCCTACAGCATATTCTCTACACAGCAGCTAGAGGAATTTTTCGAAAATGCAAATCTGATCACTGTACACTCTGGCTTACAAAAAGTCAGTGGCTTCCTATTCTACATCAAATAAAATTCACTCTCCCTAACACCCTACCAGATACAGTAGATTCTCCAATATTTGCTGAATAAATGTTATTTCTAGTGTTTTTTATAAACATACAAAGCAAGAAAATTGGTATCCTTTTCTTAGCAGTTCAAACACATTTTCAAGTTTAGTTCCATCCTGCTTTACCAATTCATTCCTTTTTGTCTTCATAGCAGATTTAATAAAATAATTACAAGCCAGGAGTCAAAACTGTTGCATGTTTATGGAGTAAAACTAGTAATAATCAAATAATTTATTACAATAATCAAATTATTTAAATGTAAAAATGTGTTTATTCACAATCTTTGAGAAGTTACCATTCCTTCAAAAAATTCTTTATGAACAAAATGCCAAGAAAAATTACAGTAGTAGCTTATGCCAAACCAAAAATATACATCTGATGTATACAAACTTTAAAAAGCATAACACAGGCAACGTGAATATAGATTATCTTTAAAATATTTCCAATGACATAGCTACAACTTAAATTATGTTGAGACATAAATAACAGCATTACCTAATATATTTACATATTTAAAGTGTCATATTTATTTCTATGAGATAAAAAAAGGTGACAAAACTATAGATGTCATTGCCCAGCAGTTCAAATATTGAAAGGGCCACATGATATTTTTAAAGTATAGCAAGAACTTTAAATTACTATTTATATCTGGACCTTCCTATATTTTCGAGAACATGCACTGTCATTGTTGCAAGAAAAAAAAAACACTATGGAAAAATTGAAAAACAATTTGCTTACTAAAGTCATATTCAATCCTCAGCAAAATCAAGACAAGCAATCAGGGAGTGTCTTATATCCTTGGCCTTTTAAATTGATACGTAAACTTTAGAGAAAAGAAAAGTTAGCTGTATATCGTAAAATTCAGTTATATATATTGATTTACTTAGTTCCATCCCATTAAAGCATGTTGTATTACAAGGCAAAGGAAAACTTAATAAAATCAATGGATTCTTTCATGCCAGAAAGGATTTTATTTACTTTGAAATACCCGTATTACCTTTTTCAGGTTTTCCCTTCTTAATAAATCATGCACAGAGAATATGTTCTGTGTAAAATCTTTCAAGACCATTCATTGGAAATACAGAATTTTAAAAAATGAAAGAAATTTACTGTATCAATTAAAGTCAACATTCATTTATAGTGGCACAGAAAAGGAAGTGAAAAACCTAAGTATAGGGCTTCCTTGGTGGCGCAGTGGTTGAGAGTCCACCTGCCGATGCAGGGGACACAGGTTCGTGCCCCGGTCCGGGAAGATCCCACATGCTGCGGAGCGGCTGGGCCCGTGAGCCATGGCCGCTGAGCCTGGGCGACCGGAGCCTGTGCTACGCAACGCGAGAGGCCACAACAGTGAGAGGCCCGTGTACCGCAAAAAAAACAAAAACAAAAAAACAAAACACAAAAAAACCCACCTAAGTATATATATTTTCTTAAATATCTTTTGATTACTCACTTTAAGTGTCCAAACTCTGAAAGATTATCTTAACATATCACATACCTTGTTCAGATTGAGTCAACATTATTATAGTAGGATATGCAACAAGTGTAGAAAGAAACTGATACTTCGGCCTTTCTTTCAGGTCATCTACTCAAATTAATTGTGCTTACTATCACATAATAAAATTTAAGTAAGTCATAGGAATCAGTAATGCTGGAAAAGGGAACACTATTCTGAATCTGAATCTGGTAGTCCCTCCTCATGCTCCCTTCACATCTGCTGAGAATGAACACAAAATGCCTTAATACTCTCGAAGTTAGCTACTGAAACAGAGTTAAGAAAGCATTCAAGGTGAAATTAATAAAACTATTTTAAAAGCTGAAAATCTACAAACAGTAAACAGAGTTTCTATGAAGAAAAGAGTTAAAGAAATTTAATTAGTAACATGACAGAACCATTAAATTGTTTTTGAAAAGCAGAAGGCAGATGATGAAATTGCACTTAATTCTGAAGCAATTCAGATATAACCTATCATTCCTATTCCTTTCTAATAAGCATTTATAACATGTTTCTTACTTCCCCTCTTACAAAAAGGCTCAGCACAACCATTTATACATTCTAGTTGGTTTTAAACATTTGGTCATAACTGATAAACCAGATCACACAATTTTTCCCTACCGTTTTTGTTGATCCACATCATATTGCTTTAGGCCAGAATCAGACAGTTCTAATACAGGATTTACAAATCCAGAATACTCAGAATTGCCATTATCATCCATTTCGGCACTAACAAAATCATTCTCCCACTCCAGCCCGTTGGAATCATCCGAGGCAGATGTAGGATTACTTCCAGTCTTCTTGCTGCTATACTTAAGTGCTGCCTGGAGAATGTCTTCCTCTGTTTTGGAACGTTCTCTCATTGGAAGCATTCGATTCATTCCTATTATATGGGCAGGGTTATTAGAAATCTCAGTAAAGATTTAAAGAACTATATTAAAAGACAAACTATCAGACTTGATTTGTGAATTAACTTAAAAAGCCAGTCATACGGAAGCCTTTCTTAAGGGAAATATTAGGGTATAATCCTACAGTGAACATTAATACTCAACAAAGGACAGTTTTGATGCAACACTGGTAATCTAGTAAGATGAAATTTCTGAAGAGCCATAAGTAAAGCAGAATGCATGGAGGATTTCAATTGCTATTAGTCTTATATGGCCAAATTAGTGTGTCTGCAAAACTTCTTTCCTACCTAGATGACAATTTCATTTCTCAGAGATAATAATAACTCTAATGATAATGATAACAATATACACATTTCCAGCACTTACTAGGTTCCAGTTAACATTGTTTGCACCTGACATATATTAACTGATTTGATCCTCAACAACTCTATGAAGTTTCCTACAGTACTATCATTATCCCCCATTCTGCAGTTGAGGAAACTAGGGCAGAAAGAAGAAAGTGATTTGCCCAAGGTCACATAGCAATAGAAGTAGTGGGGCAAGAAACAGATTCCATGCAGTTTGGCTTCAGAGTCTGCTCTTTTGCTAGTCTGACTCTAGTATAACAAAGTAGAGACATTTCTAGGGGAAACTGTTCTAGATCTAATTCTGAACAGAAAGAAACTGATCAGTAAAGTGAACGTCAAAAATCTTCGAAGAAAAAAACATCATTTTGGCAGAAGGAAGAGAGGGAGGACAGAAAAGAAATTTGAATTTGCGAGTGCAGAATCAACACTGCTAATAGAATTAAAATCTAGGAAAAGAGATTATAAGAGAATATCTCTAGACACACCCAATAATTTTGTTTTCTGAGCTTAAAGAATCAGATCCTACAATAATAAAAGAACATTTAAATCTAGGGACTTCCCTGGTGGTCCAGTGGTTAAGACTCCACGCTCTCAATGCAGGGGGCTGGGGTTCGATCCCTGGTCAGGGAACTAGATATCACATGTTGCAACTAAAGATCCCGTATACTGCAACTAAGACCTGGTGCAGCCAAATAAATACATTAAAAAAAAATACATAAATCTATCACTATTGTCTGTTACTCCCCCCAAATCGCACACTCAACCTAGCAAACTAAATCATCCTTATAGACACAATAAAAATATGAGCTGGAGACTAATATAAGTTTGTGGATTTGTATTTAATTGAATAATATGTCTAAAGGAAGCTGGATTAGACATCATCAGGTTTCTAGAGGGTTCTGTCCTCTACCTAGTCTAGTTTAATAATTCTGTTATAAAAATTTGAATAACAAACTTGAAAGTCATGTTATCTAAAAATTTGATTAGCATACAGCAAGGATGACAAATCAGGAATTAAAACACCTGAAAGGCTTTAGATCAAATTGAACAAGATGCTAAAATAAAAATAAATTTAAAATCTAGATTGGGATATAAATACACAATAACAAAAGTATAGGGTTGGGGAAACAGTGTTTAGCTGAGAAGACTTAAGTAAATTAATGCAATCTTTGCTAAAGTTATTTGGTTATTCGGTTTCTTTATTGATAAAACAAATGGCTCAACTAGAGGATATCTAAGGTCTATTCCATCTCAAAATTCTATGAAATATTTGATATCGAATATTAAAAAAATTGAAGTTAAAGTTCCATATTCTGTAACTGATTCTTCCTTTTGGGATTACCTATTTCTTAAAATGAAAATAAAGACTTGGGCCTTATTCAGTGAAATAGCTGAATATTTTAAAAAAAATAATAAAAGAAAGTCCACATTTAGCTATAATTTTGAGTACCTGCTATGTACTGGGTGTTTTATATAAATTTTGTTTACTCCTCCTAACATTCATGATTTAATTTGTTCAAATATTTATTGACTGTCTATTATGTGCCAAGCTTTTTTAGACCATCAGTATATAATAGTGAATTATCATTCTTCAAAGTAGGTTTATAATTCCCTTTGTATGATGAACTAACTGCAGTTTAGAGAGATTAAGAAACCCATCTAAAGTACTATAGCTGGGAAGATATACCAGGTAAAATTCAAACTCATGTCTGTGTTATGGCTTTTGTACTACCAACAGAACTAACAAATTGCTTATTTATTATGAACCAAAAGTTAATTAAATTTTGGCTTTAGGTTGCTCACAAGCGGGCAGTAACTCCTACAGAGTAAAGTGGGCTGGATTACAAAAACCTTAAAATGAGAAACAACATTTATTTTCTAAATTTCAAGAAACACTAAGAACTAAGCAACTTTCAGACTTCCCTGGTGGCACAGTGGTTGAGAATCTGCCTGTCAATACAGGGGACACGGGTTTGATCTCTGGTCTGGGAAGATCCCACATGCTGCTGAGCAACTAAGCCTGTGAACCACAACTACTGAGCCTGCGCTCTAGAGCCCGTGTGCCACAGCTACTGAAGCCTGCGCACCTAGAGCCCGCGCTCCGCAACAAGAGAAGCCATTGCAATGAGAAGCCCGTGCACCGCAACAAAGAGTAGCCCCCACTTGCCGCAACTAGAGAAAAACCCATGCGTAGCGACAAAGACCAATGCAGCCAAAAATAAAAACAATAAAAAAAAAAAGAATTCAGAAACTTTCTAAACAATTTACAACAAATGATAAAATATAAGAGTCTAAGGAATTTTTACACTGATTTTTCAAGGTCTTGCATTCATTTCAGTTTAAATAAAGTAAAACACAAAGTAGATTTCTATAAATTAACACATATTAAATAAAAATATTCAGGTAAAATTGTAAATATAAAATACCTTCTTCATCTTCCCATTCTAGATCTAAAGATGTGCTGTCATCATTTCCACTAGTTGATTTAGTTTTGGTCATTAAATCACAACTGCTTTCTGTATTTGGTGTCAAAACTGTGGCATCTGATGAGAGTCCTAGAATATACACCAAATACAATTAGATGTGGTGAGCTATACTCTTTTACTACAACCATTTATTCTGTAATAATTACCTCTCTTCAAATCATAACATCATAAAAAACAATTATTGAAATCATTACATTGCTAAGTTTCTGTTAGAAATAGTATAAAGGGCTTTTCCTGCTTTCGTTTTATTTTTTTTTTGCCATATAGCACGGTACACATGCAAATTTAAATGAATTATAAATTTTTCAAATATGATGAACTCTAGGCAGTATTTTTAATAGTCAATTACAAAAGGGGCAAAAAAAAATGAAAAAATAAAAATGATAAATGAAAAGCAGCCTATATTTTCAAAAGGAACTACTACTATTCTTCCATATCTGGGGAGCACAGGAGTTTTGACTTTTGAAACTTGGAGAAAAGTTTAATCTTATAAATTAATTTGTAGTAAGTAAAATAAATACACTTTTGTGTACCTACTTCCCTTTTCTGTGAGGAGGAGAGGTTAGAACAGAGTGGAAATGGAAAAAGGAACTCCTGATTCCCTATACATATCTACAGAAATAGCCTGAGGTTTTTCTTTGCTCCAACTCCTTTTATTTATTTATTTTTAAAATTTATATTATTGAAGTATAGTTGATTTATAATGTTGTGTTAATTTCTGCTGTACAGCAAAGTGATTTAGTTAATACATATTCTTTTTCATATTCTTTTCCATTATGGTTTTTTATGAGACATTGAATATAGTTCCCTGTGCTATACAGTAGGCCCTTGTTGTTTATCCATTCTATATATAATAGTTTGCATCTGCTAACCCCAAACTCCCAATCAATCCCTTCCCCTTCCCCCCTCCACCGGCAACCATAAGTCTGTTCTCTGTATCTGTGAGTCTGTTCCTGTTTCTCCAACTCCTTTTTAAAAAGGAAAGATAAAATTGTATAATTAAGGACTAGTTAATTGACTTATTTGGGCAACACAAATTGAAGGGCAGAAAGTTCTTCTAGAAAAACAGAGCCAGGATCTTCAATTATCTGTTTAACATGGCATAAAGTAACCTTAAAATGAACGCAGATATTTTAAAAGACTTACTACTACTTCGAAAAACTTCATACTGTGACTTTATATTTCTCAAACAAGATTCAAAGTCATCTTCTGGTTCTGAACTGTAATAAAAGTGAAATAATTTTTTTTATATATTCATAGTAGATACAAATTTTTAAATTTTGGCTTCATGCTTAAGTTAAATGATGGCATTTTGGTTTGAAAAGGTCTATCCCACACAAATTCATAATTGCTGTACAATTAGAATAACCTAGTCAAAACAGGTCTTACTTTTCCTAATGCTAGCAATAAACTGAAAAATAATAAGATTTTGGTTAGTCTTGAAGTCAAAATCCAAAGCTTAGCCATAAATCTAACTTGTAATTTACAATAATGAAGCATGAACAATTTTCTTTGAGTGAGTAGGAAATACTCCTGGAAATGTGACATTGAAATGTATCTTCTAAAAAAATGATCACATAGGGACTTCCCTGGCGGTTCAGTGATTAAGACTCCTTGCTCCCAGTGCAGGGGGCACAGGTTTGATCCCTGATCGGGGAACTAAGGTCCTGCATGCCCCATGGCACAGCCAAAAAAAAAGATCACACATAAACTTTATTATAAGAAAAGAGAGGAGCTAAGGAAAACACAAACAACCAAGGCATAAACAATTTATCCAAAGGCATTCAGTGTGCTATTGCATCATATTCTGTATGAAAGATGTGACGACTCTTTTTTTTTTTTTTTCCTTGCATTATGCGGGCCTCTCACTGTTGTGGCCTCTCCCATTTGCGGAGCACAGGCTCCGGACGCGCAGGCTCAGCGGCCACGGCTCACGGGCCCAGCCGCTCCGCGGCATGTGGGATCTTCCCGAAACGGGGCACGAACCCGCGTCTCCTGCATCGGCAGGCGGACTCTCAAGCACTGCGCCACCAGGGAAGCCCCGTGACCACTCTTAAGAATGCAATAAAGTCAATGTAAAATAAATGATGATCATTTTCCAACATAAAGGAAGCAAATGTTCTCAGTATTCTTACAAGTGTCTTCAAGAAGCAATCATTTTTTATGCAACATATACACATGAATATGTATATAAGCATCCAGAGGTGTACTGTGTTCTCTTTGGAAATAATATTTTCTACCACAAAGGGAAGAAGTATATTTCACTATTTACCTTTGATATTCTCCATTGTCTGAAGGATGGTATTGCTGCAAAACTCTCAGTCTTTCCTGCTTTGGAAACATAATGCAACACAAAATCACTCTGTTGTAAAATTATGTTTTTTAACACTATTCATGCAATGCCAAAAAGCGTTATTTTCTAGTTTCAGGGAAAAAAAAAAACTTTAAAAGTTATTCCATTGAAGTTTTTCTTTCCTTAAATTAATCACTGTTCACTTCTATATCCTCTTATTCATGGGTAGAATTTCTCTCAATTTTTCAGTGTATAATCCTTAAGTGGTCAGAATATTCATACTGTTATTAAAAAATAACTTTAAAAATATATATTGGTGTATCTGACTTCCTTATTACACCTAAGAACTTCTAATAACTGGAAAGATGAGGAGTAAGAAAGTAATAGTTAAAACAGTATATGAAGTTCTATTCTGGGTGAAATAAGTAGCAATTAAATGAAAAATCTAAAAGACCTGGCTAGCTTGACTCAGAAATAGTAAAAACAGAGGATTTAGAAAACCTGTCAGAGTTATGGCTCTGACAGTTATTACTGTATGTCCCTGGCATGTCCTTTATTTTCTCTTTCTTCACCTGTAAATTACAGATGGCTATTACTGTCCTACCAAATTCATAGGGCTACTGTTAAAATCAAATGAATTTGCATGTATCTGTGTATCTTTGTGTCAGCATATGTGTACAGACTGCTATGTGTTCCCATATCAATATTTATTCAAGGAAGAAAAAACTCAGGAACTCAGATTTTGCATATGGAATCATTTTAGTCTTTAAAAGGTGAGCAGCAGAGAATTTATTATAGCAAAAAGAGATGTCTAAATTATAACCAGAAAAATACTTTCCTTTCTTAGTAGAAGGTGAGTTAATTTTTAAACTTTCCCATTACTTAGAAGTTACTAAAAAATAAAAATAAAAAAGATACTCCCTCACATAATCTAATTAATCTGTTGAAACACCAAAAAAAAAAAAAAAAACAGAGAGAGAGATGAAGAACACGGGTTCCATAGAAATCACACAGAAACATGATTTTTTAGTTCATCTATGTTACAATAATTGTGTGACATAATCCTTGTACTACACTTCAGTTAACACTGCAGTAGAGTTCACACAGGCAAAAGATGGAGGAAGATACTAAATAGAAAAGTGGCTAAGCAGTGCTTGAATTCTGGCTCTGCCATTTATTAGCTGTAGGATCTTAAGTTACTTAACCTCTCTGTCCCTTGGTTTCATCACTTATAAAATGGGGATTAAAAACACTACCTTCCTCCTAGGATTGTTGTGACAATTAAACAAGGTAAAACATGTAAACTAATCAGAACTGTTACTGACACTTAGCCAGGGCTCCATAAATGTCTATTATTAATAGCTGTCTGGCATTATAACAATGCCATGTTTGAATACAGCATGGTAAGATATGATAAATCTGTTGTTTTTTCTGATAATACATCAAAGATTTCCCAAGACCCAAACTCCCAATCTCCCAAAGACACAAGTATAAAGATGAGAAATACAGAGTATTCCTATGGGGCAAAATCGCTCAGCTTACCCAATTTTAGGAAGTATAAGAAAGTCTAGCAGTTCAAGAAATTGTTAAAAAAAAAAAACCCTCACAAAATAAACTAAAAAATGCTGCAGAAATGATACTTAAAGGTTAGTTTTGCAATGCTTCATCTAAGAGTATATTTATTTTTCCAAAAGAATGCTGAATTTTGGAAAAGTATAAAGTTCATTTTTGGGATAAACAAGAATTAGCTTCTGGTAATTTAAAGCTAAACAGCACTCAGTAACAAGCATATAATTTGATGTTATTTCTAGCTGTTAAAGACCAACTAATTTGCCTTTAAAATTCCTAAGAGTATAGGAATAAATACATTTGTTGTTAAACAAGAAGTCCTTGATTCTAGGGGGAAAAAGTCCCAACTAAGGTTTGTCAAAGAAAATCAGGAGAAAAGCAGCCCTAATATATGTTGGGGTCTTTTCCCCTCACCTCCAAGAGCTTTCGCTGCTTTGCTGCCCTGGCTGCTTCACGCTGTGCAGCGTATAAAGCTTCTTCTTCTAGTCTTAACTTCTCTTCTTGTAAGGCTAACTGTACATGAACAAAACGATAAGGATTAACAAAAATCAGAACCTGTCTAACTGCTCTAAAAATAAAATGTTTCTATTTATAAAATAAAAAATAAATTATTAAAAAAAATAACTGACCTCTACAAAGCATAATAGAATTAAATTTCTGTGATTTCTCAATTTCTCTTTTTACAAAATAATTCAAATGATATCAAACATGTTACAGAATTCTTTAGAAGTTTAATTATAAAGTAGAGCATCTAGTTTGCATAAATACAAAACTGTTTCTTTCCTTAGAATATGCAGTGATCTTCATTCTCAACAATCGTTCCAATGCCGATCACCCTGATTAGTTTCATGGTTTGGGCCCTCCTTAGTCCAAGGTCTTTAAAACTAAGGTCAATCATATCACTGTCTACCAAAGCGAAGTAAGCTTTCACAAAGTTCATGGTGCATTGATACACATGTCCTGTATTTTATTACCATCAAGTTATTAAAAAATTACTTCCAAATTTAAGTTCCTGCCATTCATAATAGCATACGAACTGCTTTAATGATAATCTACTGCAAGTCAAATCAAATTTAAAAATCAAATTTCAACACAATATTTTTCTTTAGCCTAATATTAGCATCTATTGTGTAGCTTAAGTTAATGCTGTTGAAATCACTAATTGGTACTAAACAGACTATTTTAAAATGTATAATGGAATATGACTAATTCCATTTAGTTTAGTGAATGCAAAACTATAATTACAGGCCACCTCTGTAAATATATTAAAGTAAATATAACATTTATGATTGTTAGAAGTACTTGGTTCACTTACTAAGAATAAATAAATCCAAGACAAAAAAAAATTTTTTTTAAATAAACCACTTATTGTGAAACAGAGTAATTTTTAAAGTTAGTTTTAAACACAAAGGTGCATGTATCTTGCCAGAGTCCCTACTTGTGAATTCAGAAATTATTTTCAGAAGAATGTATTCTCTTCACTTACTGGCAGCATATGATTTCTGATAAATTGAACCGAACTAAACCAAATTATTATAGGCTGGAATAATTTTTTAACTTTTAACTCATTTTCACCTCTATATATCTAAATTTAGGTCCAATGACCGTTCACATGCAATATATTATTTAATGACACCTTTCCCATATAAACAGAGACTTTATGATAATATATACTTAAGCAACATAAGACTATTTACCTCTTTTTGGATTTTCATATCAAGATCTTTCTGTTTTTCAACAATAGAATCATAATGCTTCTCTCTTAGGTCAACAATTTCTTCCTCAGTAAGAGGCCTAAAGAGAAAAATAAGGCAGAAAAAGAAAGAAAAGGAAAAAAAAAGTGCTGATGAGTCCAAGTTAAATAAAATACTCATAAAATCAGTGAAATTATGAAATTTTACTGTCAAAAATGTATTAAAGCAATTTGATGCTATGATTTCAATTGTTAGAGTAAAAAATCATACATTCTAATACTTGTTATAATTTGGTATATAAGATGATATACTATCAGAGTACCGTTTTTTAGCCTAAAATCAACTTTAAAGAAATGTGGACTCCCTTTACTTTGGCTCTTCAGCCATCTGACTATATCCCAAAATGTTCATCATAAAATATAAACTTCAGTATACTATACTCTGATCTCAGCCCTCATATCATTTTGGAACTCTTAACTCTCATACCCCCTGCCCTATTTATCCTGCTCAATCCCTCTAACCACCCCAGGCCCTTAATCCTCCCTTTTCTCTCAGTTTATCGATCCTGATCATCTCCTGGCTTTACTTCACTTACAACCAGTGTGGACTCTGTGGCAAATCTGAAGTACTTTCTTACCCACATACTCGCCTTCCTGCACACCTGTCATTATGCCTTAATTCACCCAGATTACTCATTCTCTGACCTTGGATCATTTCCATGATTAGCTCTTTCTGCTGAGAGTTGTGAGAGAAAATCCAACATCTGTTTGGCCCTCTGCCCCTAGCAATAACCCTTTACTTATACATGGCCAACTCCCTCTCACATCCTATCCTAACTACTTCAGAATCTTCACAAACACACTCCTTAAGTTCTTCATTCAAACTCTTTTCTCTTAGAAGTCAATTTCACCCCACTCTGAGACATGACGAGCATGTCTCCAACCATCAAATCCCTCAACTTCTTGCCAGTCCTCCTCTTACCTAAGTCTATCCTCCCTACTCTTCCCTCCTTCCTCTAAAGAGGTGGTATTCCTTAATTTGTTCAAGGTCACCTGTCACACTTATACTTGATTCATTCATCACTGATGCTACCCCACACCACCTTCACTCCAGAGAATTCTGTGGGACATTGCTCCATCAGTTAGTACCTCTTTTCTTCAGTCTACTCTTTTTGTCTGTTTTCACCTCTCTTCCTTGTGAAGACTGGAAGAAAGGAAGGAAAGAAAGGAAGAAGGAAAAACTTTCATTTGACCTATATCTATCACTAGAAAATGTCTGAAATTAAAAGTTTATTGATAGCACATCTAGCACTTACTATGTGTCAGGTTCTTTTCTATGCGCTTTACATATAATGACTAATTTTAATTCTCAAAACAACCCTGTAAGGTAGATACAGAGATCATACATATGAGGGAAATGAGATGAAGACAGATTATATCCAAGTAAGCCATATAGTATGTGGCAAAGCTAGAATCTGAACCCAAGTAGTCTAGCTCCTTGCTCCTAACAACTGTGTTTCTCTTCCCTTCTATGTCCTTACTTCCCATTCTCTCATCAACTCACGACAGTCTGCATCTGCTTTCATTGCTCTACTAACTCTAACAAAGGTAATTAACGGCCTCTATGTTGCCAAATATGAGACAGTTTAAGTCCTTATAATATTTCTTCAGTTTCATGTGGCAGTGCTGACCATTCCCTCCATTCCATCTGTCAGTCTGTCTCTACCTCCTCCCTTGGCTTTCTATGCTCTCCTGCTTCTTGGCTATCTTCTGAATCCTCTTCTAGTGTCTGCCTATTCAGTCTTCAGACCAACTGCTCTCTCTCCATGCTCCAGTCACCCCACTTCCTCCCCCTTCCCCAACTTCAGGTCTTGATAATTATCATGGTTATAACCAGCCATGTATAAGGTAATCGTCTCCTCCTACTTTTGTTTCTTTAGCCCTAACTTCTGCCTAGGGCTTTTTGTTTGTTTTTTGAGGTATTACTTATATAAAGTAAAAAACATGATTAGTAAAACAAGTTTTAGAATGTCATAAGGAAGCAAAAGGGGGATAAAGTTTTACAAATTCAAAGAAATGTACTTATCAATATTAATATACTAAATAGTTTTTTAAAACTAAAATATGCATAACAACTTAGGTTCAGTAGGAAAGCACTTAGGCACTTATGTAGATTAAATTCTTTAATGTTCAAAACAACCTTTTGAGATATGTTATTATTTGCCTCAATCTTATAGAAAGAGAAAACCAAGGTCCTGAAATGTAAACTGTTCAATGCCTCAAAGCAAGCAAATGACAGAACCTGGATTTTTAGAGAGCTTCTTATAGTTCACACAGAAGTCATTTGTTTTATTAAAAAAAAAAAAAAAAAAAAAAAAGCCTTACCTATGATTGCTTCCTGGGCTTTCCCCCTGTGCAAGAATTAATTAAACAATTATACAAATTTCACTAGCTGAATTCTATTTAAGGCAAGCCAATAAAATTTTTATTTAATCAAAATATTTTCTGCTTATTTTACCTTGGTAATAAATTTCATTATTAATAGTGTTTTAAACAAAAAGCTTTAACATTTTACTATTTCTCAAAGGCAAAATTTAGTTTACTATCTATCTTAATTATATAACAACCAATTGTTGGACATTTCCTAATTTTTTATAACAAATATTTACTCTACACCAAATGACCTTCTGGGTTCAAGATGGTACTAGACAACATATTCTCTATGTTCTCATCATTTACAATTGATCTTCATTATTTGCAGATTCCAGATTTGAAAATTCACCAATGAGTTAAAATTTATTTGCAACATCAAAACCAATGCTCCCCTCACTCTTATGGTCATTCACGGGCATACACAGAGCAGCAAAAAATCTGGTTGCCTGACATACACATTCCCAGTTGAAGTAGAAGGTGATGCTCTGCCTTCCTGTTTCAGCACTCTTACTGTGCCCTATTTGCAGCCTATGCAGTGTCACTTTTTGCATTTTTGTTCCTGATTTTGCTGTTTAAAATGATCCCCATGTGTAGTGCTGAAGTGCTGTCTACTGTTCCTAATCATAAGAAGGTGTGACATGCCTACATGTGCCTACACATACATGTGTTAGATAAGCTTCATTCAGGCATGAATTATTAGTGCTGTTGGTAGTGAGTTCAAAGTTAATGAATCAATAATATACACTAAAATAAGGTGTCAAACAGAAACATAAAACAAGGTTACATATTGATCAGTTGATGAAAATGTTGTGATCAGAAGCCTGTAGGAAGCTAATTCTGTATTTCCCCTAGGAGTAATGTTCCAGTATCCACTAATTCAGTATTCACGGCAACTTCATAGAATGTAACTACCACAGATAACAAGACTGCTTTTGATCTCTTTCCTGGGATTCTGAAATTACCTATAGTTTTTTCCTCCAAAGAAAACTGTAACTACTTTCAAGACTAATTTGGATTTATGCATTTCTTACACATTTGTGCTAGTCACATCTCACAATTAAAATATATGACTAAGTAACAGCAGAAATAAAATTTCAAATGGTCCAAATTAACTTAGGAAAAAGCACTACAAAGCAGGATGTAACATTCAACTAAACCAAACACTAACTATGACATGAGAGAGGAAAAGACTGGTTAGCAAAACAAACAAATAAACAAACTCAAACCAAACAAAACGCACCTTAGGAAAACACTTGGAATCACACATTCTTTTAAAGAGCTGTATGATGGGGGGATGAACTATATTGAAGGTTAACAGAAATCTTACATTTAGTACTTGTCAGAAACTTTAAAAATATCATGTTAAGTGTTTGTTTAAAAAAATACACAAAATTAATGTTACTTCTGAAAAGGGAAAGAAACGAGATTTTATGAACACTAAAATATTTCGGAGAAATTTTACTGGGAAACAAAAGGCTAAGACAGGTCCTCAAATATATTCTACCAGATAATAATAAATATGTATTACTATTTTAAAAATGGATTTATACCCAAATTAATTTGGGAAATGCTAAATTAGACAAGTTTAAATAATTTTCTTTAACAGTTCTTTAACAATTTCTCTAATAGTTCTTCCCAGAACCTTTAATATGCCAATTTACACTCTGAGACTAGTATTCTATACACACTCTGGGAAATGCTGGGCTAAAGAATAATTTAAATTTGGTTTAATACATTTTTCTCTTTCCTTAGAAAACAAAAATGATGAAGAAAAAAAAAACTTGCAATGCTCTTCTAGTCAAATTCACTTTAGAGATGTGGAAAGTAGGCCTAAGGCAGGTTAAATAATTTACACAAACTCATATAATTAGTTTAGCAAAGTTGGAAATTAACACACAGACTAAAACTCTTCTAACTATACCAGTGCATAAGAAATATATACCATATTTCACTAATTCTAAAATGTAGTGTTTTTTTTTTTCCATTTTAACATTTCTGTACTTGGGATGCAACTTAAAATTGATTTTTAGATGAGGTGAAATACAAAAATCAACAAAAAGAATAACTTATAAAAAATATAATGGCTAAAGTCAGAAAGTGATTGCAGAACAGACATGTATAAATTCTACCCTCAGAAATCTATAAAAACTATGGTCAAACAATGGGTCTACTCTGGATTGTTGAGGAATTTTACCTTAGGTAAGATGGCAAGATGTTAGAAATATCTTTTTTTAAAGTTTCTCAAGTTCTACAGAATACTTCAAAAACCTGTTTTATATATATGCATACATATACACACACATATAATATATAACTGATGTATGAAACTAAAATATACATGTAGTATATATAGTATTACATATGTTAAATAATAGAAAATTCTGAATAATTTGCTAATATAAATTAGTAAAAGAAGGAAACGATAAGGGACTAAAAAGTAAAAATAACAACTAAGAAGTAAAAATTCTAAAATAAAAGAATATAATAAAAATTTAAAAAGTAATTGTCAGAACTTATGAGATGACTAATGAGAACAAATATGAATTTTATACTGCTGTGAAAATACTTACTTCATCACTTTCTACTAGATTCTCAAACTGAAACAACAAGAAAGTGAGTGTTAGGATGAATATTTGTCTAAGGTACATATCTCACAAAAAATTATATGGTGGAGTTGCTCAAAATCAACTTGCTGTTTGAATTCTGCCACACCTCTACTAGGGTAGACCAATGATCTGTCTCTAGAATCACTGGCTACTATAAGCCACTATAATTGATAGAAGTGTACCCTCTCGCTCAGTTGTATAGGGCAGAAAAAAGACAAAAACAAACAATAAATCCCACCACTTCTTAAGTAGAAGTAACAATTCTACTAGAAGAATGGGATCTTAATCTTTTGCAAACTTGTTCTCCCCTATTCATGCTTCCCCCACCACTCCAATTCTCTCCCTATTCACTAGCTATCTAATATTAAAATATAAAGAGTCCATACTAAATTTAGGTACAGAGCCTTCCCCTTACTTAAAAAAAAAAGTGTCTCTCCTGCT